GCAGTGTTTTCTCACCTTCCCAGGAGCTCTTGCTTTCCACTGGACCCATCTCTCCATCCACCTCCAGCCATCCCTCTCTTCCTTTCTCTCTCTATCCATTCTTCCCTCCATCTTTTCAACCACCCCTCACTCCTCCTCTCTCGATTCATCCCTCCAAAGATTCCTCTGTCCATCTGTATGACACTCTTTCCCTCCATCCCTCCATCCCTTCATCCATCCCTCATTCCACCCTTCCATCCCTCCATCCCTCTGCCTCCCTCAATCCCCACAGTGGCACTGGGAAAGGTTGGCGGAGTGGGGCTATTTTTGGGAGCGTCTCCCTGGCAACGGCTGCCACCACCGTCTGTGGTGGTTTTTACATAGGTGCTAAAATATTCCACACTTCTTATTAAAGACGGTGCTGGTGGAGACGGGCGGGGGCGGCGAGTGTGAGCCACCCCGCTGCTGGGGCCGGCGGCCATGGGGCGGTCAGGGCATGGCACTTGGGGGGCACAAGGACAGCAAAGGGCCGGTGACATCTCCAGTGCGGCGTCCCCATGCCCCTCTCGCTGCCTCTGGAAGGGCCACCAGTCTCTTGGCAGTGCCAGGCTGCCACACCATGCACAAGGTGCAGCTATCCATCCTCCTGCTGCAAAGGCAGAGGGAAATGTGGTGAGGCCTTGGAGGGAGCCCGCAGTAAGGAGCAAAAGGCAGAGAGGGAGACACCTCACTTGAGGCTGAGGTGGTTGCAGGGCTGCATTTGGCTTTGCCCGCTCTGGGAAGGAGCAAGATGTCTCAGGCCCATCTTTATCCCTTCACCACATGAAGAGGAAAGGCCCGCTGTGGTGCCAGAGGGATGGTGCACTCTGCCAAAGAGCAGCTGGGCAGATACTGGTCAGTAGCTCTAGGGGAGCAGCCCCAAAACAGGCCCTAGAGACAAAGCTTTTGGGAAAGTAAGTACCCTCTGAACCTGAATGAGGTCCTCATAGGGATGGCTGCAGAGGGAATGGATGGGCTGGCCCTGCTGCATCCAGGTGCAGCAGCTCCCCAGGAGCAGTAGGGAGCAGCCGTGGGTGCACTGGGGTGAACTGACCCATTCAGGAGGCTGATGTGCTCCTGGTTTGCAGCTGCTCATCGGCATGGAGCTACTAAACCCACCCCAGCACCCTCTGCTGCCCCGGCAGTGGCTTTGCCAGGTGGGAGCAGGCTGTGGTCACCACAGCAGTGTTCACTGGTGCTGGCAGGGCACAGCAGGCTCCACAGCGTGTTGTGCAGGGGTCATCCTATGTGCCGTACCTTGGGAGGGTTTGGGGAGGGAGGGTCACAGTCCTTGCAGGATTGGGGCCCAGAGGAGACTCAAAAAATGGGTTTTTTAATCTTTTTTGACTTTTCAGCACAGGCCTTAACACTGCGGACAGCATATGAGGCACCAAGACAGAAACCATGTCCTCAAAAATGCTGTTCTGGAGCAGGGCTACTCTCAGGATCCTGTGCCTACAGCCACTGCCTGTGTGGTCAGGAGTCTCTTCAGCCTCTGCCTTTGCTGCAAAATCTCTCCTTGTCACCAAGAAGTGACCTTTTTAAAGCCTCTGAGATGCTGCTGGCCATGGAGACCCAAGAGAGGTTTCTCGGACAGGTTTCCCAGCAGGATGGCTGTGCATATTCCTGGAGCCCTGAGGGCTGGTCCCTCCATGTCCAGCTCCTGTCCCAGCATTACTCTTCCCGCCAAGAAATCACCAGCTCTGTAGCGTGGGGAGGCAATGCCCCACAACAAACACTCAGCATCAGCTGGGAGAGCCTGGTCCTTCCTCGGGGCTAGGTGTCAGCCCAGCACCCCAAATCCAGGTGGGAAAAAGCCCTCTGATGGTAGTTATTTAATCTCTGTGCAGCCGCCCAGGAGGAGGATTCACCTCCTTGGGGGCACCTGGCGGCCCCACCATCCCCTTCCCGCTGCCGATGGTTGCTCTGTCTCCCCCATGGCGGCTCCGCAGCTCTGAGCTCACACGCGAGGATGGGCTAAAGTAGCGGAAAGCTGTTGGATCCTACCACAGAGTTACTGACTTCTCAGCTACAGACTGCATAGCAATCAGCGAGGGGGAGAGGCAGCCAGGGAAAGGGAGCGGAGCGCAAAGGGAGGAAGAGTGTCAGGGAGAGGGGGGATCTGGGGACTAGAGCAGGGGGGCAGCAAGGGGCACGGGCAAATCATGCCAGAGAAGGAGGGAGCCAGGCAGGAGGGGGAGACCTAAACCCGTCGCTGAGCCACGAAGGCACATCAGCACTCCGTGGGATGGACGCTCCTGGGAGCAAAAAATTCTGAGAGGCAGAGGCAGAAGGAGAGCGCTGGCGTGGGCAGGGCAGAGTTAGGAGAGGAGCAGGTCGCAGCGGAGAAGTAGCTCTTCGGAGGGGAAAAAAATAAACCTAGGCTGGAGGCGAGCGAGGACTGCAGAGAGACTTCCCTGATTCCTCCGGTCCGGCTGAGACATTTCATGGTGAGATGGAGAGACCGGCCGCTTTTCCCCTCCTCTGATGCTGGCTCGGCACGGCTGGAGCAGGCGGCAGCCCTCGGCAGGACCCGGGTAAGAGGCGGTGCCGGGGCGCGCTGCTCTCCGCACCGGCATGGGAGCGCGAAGGGTTTTTCTCCCTTCGGAAAATAATGTATTGTTTCATTTGCGTTCGCTCTGAGGAACAGCTATAAATATAACTTGGGGAGAGATGCGTGGCTTCGTGTGAGCGTGCCAGTGAATAATAAAGTTGCCTTGTGTGCATGGCGTATGCACGCACAGCTACCGGGGCGGCCACGGGCCGAGGGGCAGGGGTGGGCTCCTGCCTCTAAACCTCCCCAACTTCCCTCCCCGCCCCCTTGCCACCCTAACTTCGGTCCCTTTGCAGGTAACTTCTCCATTTTTTCAGTTCCCCGTGTTTTCTTAGTGTCTTCTCGCCCTGGGCTGGGTCTTGCTCACCTTTTACTTCTCCTGCTCTGTAGACTCTTCTCTGTGCTGGTCCCGGCCAGTTCACCCAGAAGGAGGCAGCTGGAGGCCTGCTCTCCAAGCTCTTGGGTGCAAATGGGGCTGAAGTGGACGTGTTTGTTCTCCTGCTGCCTGTGGAGCTTTTTGGGCTTCAGATCTGTCCCTCTCTCCATTGCCTTCCACCTCTCCTAGTCCCAGCATGGCTGATCATGCCAGTGGTGGTCCAACACCCCCCCAGACAGGCACGGTGCAAAGGGTCTTCTGAATAGTGGCTTTGGGTGAAGGAGCTCAGGAGGAAGCCAGGAGCAAACTACCAGAGAAACTCTGCCTTTGCTCCCTGTTCAGAAGGTCGGCATCCCCACCAGGGCAGGAGTGGGCAGGCAGGTTTGCATGGTGCTGGCAGATCACCCCGGACATCCCTGGCCCATCAGCCCCCAAGGCCCTCCCTCCTGGGCAAATAGCCTGGAGTCATCCAAATCTTTCTGGCAAGAGCCTGGAGTTTCCTATCCCTGCAGCCCAGCCCTGACTCCATCGATGGCAAAGCAAACAGCAGCTCTGGGGCCTCTCCCTTCTCCCCTTCCTCCCCTTGGGGGTGTGCTGTGAAGGGCAGACAGTGACAGTGTGCACGGAAACACGTGGCAGAGGTGACACAGCTCCAAGGCTACCTTCAACCCCTGCTCTGTGCCCTCCTTGGCTGCTCGGGGGGAGTCATCCACAGGAGGTGGGAGGTGTGGAGATGAGCCCAGGGCTTGGGGTTACCCAGAGCCTGGGCAGGATCAGGAAGGTGCATGGGGAATACATCTTGACAGAGACATGGGACTGTGTCCCTTCTCCATCCACCACCAGAAGTGGCACCCACAGAAGCCTGAGACACTCCGGCAGTGTGTGGCCACTCCTGTTTGCAGACACTGAAAATAATAATCAATACAGGGCAAATTGTGCCTTAGGGGGAAGCATGAATCTGCTGGGGACAGGGAGTGGTGGGGAAGAGGACAAATGGTGAGGATGGACACAGAAAGGATAAGCTGGAGAGGGCTGATCTGGAGGGAAGCGGGTTCCCTCTCCTCCACCTTTTTTTTCTTCCATCTCTCCCCGTTTGGGGATCAAAGTGCTCAGATCAAGTGCCCTGATGTGTGGTGCTGGCAGGGGGCAGGGAGTGGTCCTTGTCCCTTGCAGTCCCCCGCCATGGTTTTCAAGGAAAGCCAGGAGGTGGCTGGGGAGGGATGGAGTTTCCTGGCAGGACCAATCCCCATTGGCCCCTCCAGCTTCTCGGCCACCCCAAGCTCAGCCATCGGCCAGGGCCGGGAAGCAGCTGCATCCCTGGGGTGGAGTCAGTGACAGGAGGGTGCCCGCAAGGGGAGGAGGGCACGGTGATGGATACCTGTGCCCGCCGCACGCCGCATCCGTGCGGACGCCGAGCGGAGCAGTTAATGGCCCCGTGCCCCCAGCGAGCCCCGCTATCCCTCCTCGTTATTGCACTGGGCTGGCTGAACCCGGCACTGCGGCCAGGGATCGATAGATGGATGCTGGCGTCTCAGCAATCGATCTCTTACTCATCCACGCGGCTCCCAGCCTCCCGCTGCCGCTCGCTTTTCTGTGAATGGCGCGGGCTGACTGAAGCCGTGTGCGCCTGCCTCGCAGCGCCGCGAAACTGAGTCAGGCTCAATTGCTGCTCCTTGACGTCACTGCTCCTGTGCCCCTTACCAGGGCGGAGAGGCCTCACAGGGAACCCCCAGAGCCACCGGCACCGGTTTTGCTCGCCAGACAAGGTGGTTTTAATGGTGATGGTTGCGATTGGAGCCCCTTCTTGGGAGAGATACTGATTCTCTGGCAGAGAGGGGCTTGGGACAGGCAAGAGCTGCTTTTGAGCTGGTTCTCGCCCTCAGACCTCTGAGGCTTGTTCTGCAGCAGTGAAGGTGGTGCCGTGGCACGGGCTGCTGAGGGATGGGAGCTGGCTGCAATGTGACCCTGTCCCTGTGGCCCCAGAGACCCATGCCTGTCCTCCTGGGAGCCTGGCAGCAGGCAGCTTGCTTCAGGGACAGTTTAGGCATTCACTCGCTGGTTTATCTGGGAAGGAGATGCCCACCATCTCCTGGCACCAGCCATGGTGGCACAGCAGCACCACTGCTGCTCTCACTGGAAATCAGAGACTGGAGGGTGGAGAACAAGGTACTCCAGCCCGGCACCTCCCCAAGCCGCCAGCCAGGGGCTCCTTCTGCCGCTCTGCCCACGCCCCTGCCACCATGGCAGTGGGTCTGCCCCTCACAATCTGGACGGCTGCTTTATTTCTATGGCAACATTTCTCCTGAAACACTTCAGAGGGAGCCTGGTGCTGTTCGATAATGAGGGAAGCAGCGTCCCCCATTCTGTCCCCTGCAAAAGGCTCAGAGAAACGACCCTGACACATCTCCCCACCTCCTTCCCTCCCTGGCGAGCGGTACCAGCATTAGTACAAAGAGCTGCTGGCCTTGTCCCAGCTGCTTCTCTGCTGCCTGCTCTCCTTTCTCCTGCCTTCGGCTTGGCTCTCCCCTCTCCTCTCGCCGGCTCCCTTTCTGCTGGCAGCCCGCTAAAGCACCCGCGCAGACTGACCAGCTGAAAGGAGTCTCAGAGCAAGTGGATGTCGAAAGTGACTCTGCTGTAGAGGAGGGTAAAGCCCCGGGAGAGCTGTATAGATCGGCCCCGCCAGCAGCGCGGTGAGTGCGGGGCTGAAGGGCACCGGGGATCCCAGAGGCCGGGCAGACGGGCGCTTCATCCCTCTGAAAAGCTCGATGGCATTATGAAGAGGCGGTGCCTGCCACGGGAGCAGGCACAGCGGCCCCAGAACTCCTCTCCTCTCCCGTTCCCGTTGCTCCCAGCAGCAAGAGACGGCCTGGTGTCCCGGTGGAGGCGAGCAGGCAGAAGTTGCGGGCAGCGCCGAGCGCCAGCAGGCGACAGGCAGGTGAGCGGGCAGGATCCCAGCGGGAGCGGCTGTCGCAGCCGGAGGAGCAGGCAGGGTATGACAGCCACCCGCGGTGACGGCGGGGGGGATATCGCAGTCCTGGCAGGGTGCAGGTGCAGCCGCCGTGTCCCGCTTCGCTCTGCTCCCCCCCGGCCCTTCCCTGTCGGGGAGATGGAGGGTAGGGGAAGGAATCCTCTGTACTGTGTGAGTTGGGCAGCACTTAGGCTTGACCCCTTCCAGATGTGCTTGTTAAACCTGACCGATGAAGCCGCAGCAATGGAAGTCAGCAAACCTGCAGTGAAATACTTGATCCACTCTCTGCGTTTTCCAGCTTACCTGGGATGCTCCCTCTGCTCTGTTTCTGGTGTCTAGCAGGGATGGCCGAAAGGGGAGCAGCTGGGGCCCTTTCAGGAGGCTGGTGGCTCTGCTCAGCTCCCTCTTAGCCTAGCGACAAGGCGGGGTGAAGGGAGATTTGTTCCTCTGTCGCGGCTGGGTTAGTGCTTAGCAGCCAGGCCAGGCTGGGAACTCAGCTGTCGTGCAGCAGCTGGGTGTGGAGAAGCGGCTGCAGCCTCTCTCGATCGGGGACTTGGCGCAGAGCGGGCTTTGCCCTGGTTATTGCTTGCCCTTGCTGCTGTCACTGTTGTTATCATCATTCATAAACTATTTGCAGGCATCTGCCTTGTTGGGTGCTTGGCAGAGTCACCGGCAGTCCATCCCTGCCCTGTCAAGACCACAACTGCAGCAGGCAGGCTGATGATGCAAGCCGCTCTTACCCCCTCTTTTCCTGCACACTGATAATTATCCTTGTCCCCTGACTAGCCAAAAGGCATCAAGACATCCCACACGGCCAGGCACTTTGTGCTGAAGAGATGGTGAAGGGATGCTGTTGGGAATGGCCTTACACCAGGGCTCCCACAGGGCAGGACATTCCAGAGATGTGGAGATTAGTGAAGACACCCTTTGCACCGTGCAGTTGTGCTGGGAAGCTGGAGGAGGTGACCTGAGTGCACTGTATCTGCCTGGGATGTGAGGACATCAGGGGCACCCCAGAACCTTCAGATTTTCACCTCTTGCAGGTTTTGCACTAACCTTTTGGGGTCTAGTCTCTGGTTTTGGTGGCAGGGCGCTGGAGGCATGTCAGCCCCTCTGTTTCCTCGGTAGCAGGTGGGATGCAATCTGCACCCTGGCTGCTACAGAAGCTTAGTTCCCTTTTGGCCAAGAATACCACCCAGGGAAGGCCAGGGCCCTTCTGAGCATTGAATTTTTCCTATGATGCCAGCTACAGAGAATAACACCCACCTTCCTCACTCAGCAAGAAAAAAGCAGGGACTTCTCCCCACCTGCCAATCCATCAGCATCCTCTCTTTACAATCCTGCTCAGTCCACCCCCCAGCCCCTGTGTCATGTGCTGCCAGCCTCATCTGGGCCAGAGAGGAGTGGGTGAATGCCGGTGCCAGTCCCACCAACCCCACCATGGGGTGTCCCCCACCTAGTCTGAGATGCTGGGGAGTAGGCAGCTGTTCTCACAGCGCCATGGTCTGGACGGTGCAGCCGCAGCAGGGATCGCTGGGGCGGTGTGGGAGCAGGCGGGAGGTGATGCTGTCACCTTTCTGTGCCTCTCCCTGACTTTGTCATCCCGGGGACCTTTGTGTGGTTCCCATTTTTATCTGTTTTTTCTTCCTCTCACTCTTTCTCTCCTTCTCTCTTCGCTTTCTTCTCTCCCCCTCCCATCAGCATGTGGGCTGATCACTGCTCAAACTTTTAATTCAGATGGTAATTGGAATAATAATACGGGCAGAATCCTTCTGGCTCCGTTGCTGCAGCTGGCTTCAGGGAGCTATGAATAGCTCTGAGTCACACACTGAGATGGTTTAACTTCAAATCATTTTGTTTTGTTTTCATATTACCCATCCTCAGGCTCCAGAGCTTCACAGGGGGAAAAAATATCCCCCCTTCTCACTCCACTCCAAAATATAAAACCGAGCAGAAGCACATGAATAAAATCCTCTTTTGGAGAGGGAAACTGGTCAGCGGATCATGCCTTGAGGGGCAGATGGGGACTGTTGGCACCTGATCTATTTATAATTATTGAACGAAAAGGCAGAAGTGTGTATATAAAAATGGTACAGAGTTGATTACAGCTTCCTCCCCTCACCTTCCATATGTCAGTTGCCTTTTTAATATGGTAAAACTCTCCTGCACAGTGACTGTGCCTTCGCGTGTGCCCGTACAGCGCCTGGCAGCCTGCCCTGCTGGCACGGAGCAGAGAGAGCTCGGCCGCTGGCTCTTGCTGCAGGACAGGCCCCCGTGGCACAGAGCTGCCCTGTCAGCCCCAGCATGGACCCTGGGAATATTGCTGAGGAACAGGAGAAGAGATGGAGTTCCAAAGAGGATGGAGAGGACACATTGGATGCTGTGGGTCTGCAAGGCTCTGCAAAAAGGCAGAGAGGTCCCTCCTCAGCTGCGGGCGTTTCCGCCCTGACTCCCTGAGAGGCGAGAAGCTCGTCTGCCGTGTTGTCACCGCGCCCGAGCTGGCAGGATGGGGCTGGGGATGCTGATCCCAAGCCAGCCGGTGCCACGCAGCCGGTAACAGGGACAAGGGCACAAAGCGGAGCGCAACCAGCGGCTGTGGTATTGACCACAGACAGAAGCATTTGCCAGACAACTCCAGATAAAGCAAAGACTAAGAGTGTAAAAATACCCTGGGATTTTTCCATCGTTGTCGCTCACAGTGTATGTCCCAGAGCACCAGATATGGTTGTTATAAAAAGAGAAGTGGGGGAGTGCTTTAGCGTGGACTTTTCTGTTCTGTTTCATGAGACTCTTCCATTGCAAATGTAAGAAAGGATTGACAATATATCATCTACTCTGGCAGGGGCTGGAGAAAGACTGGGACTCCATCACTGTGTACAGGGATGGAGAAATGGAAGTACTGCCCTGGCACCAAGCACCTTCTTGACCTTATTATCCTGCAGATCCCTTGGAAAGGGACAGCAGCAGCATAGCCCCACGTGCCTGCTGAGGGCCAGAGCAGAACTGGAGTGGCAGCGTGGGCTGGTGTGATGGCTTGTGCTGCTGGAGCATGGTGTCACACGGGAAGGAGGAGATGATTGCAGCACCGTGGTGGTGTCCCTGGAATTACTCAGTCTAAGACACAGGAGGAGGGAAAGTCACTGGGAAAGAGGGAAGGGCAGCACATGCTTTGGGGCTAGATGCAGCTGCTGGCCCCTGGAGACCCATCTGGCTGACTGTTGCAATGCTGCAACCCAGTGGCTGTGACATCCATGCTGCAGCAGCCTTTCAAAAGTGCTGGGGGGCTTCTGCAGGCCATGAAATTCATGGGTGTTCACGTACACACAGGACAGGCAGCAGAGGGATGGAGGGGCATCTGTCCAGGTTGCAGCCTCCTGCCTAGCATCTCTCCTTGCTGCACCCACCAGCTTGGTTTCATACTGCTCCATAGGAGTTTCCACTGACTCTGCAGCTCCCTCCTTCACATGTGGGTCTCAGGAGACAGAGCAAGCTCCAAGAAATGCCCTCAGGCATGCTCTGGATTTGTATCTCTGTCCTCAGCCAGGCTTTCCTCCCCCCATGTCCATGTGACAGGCAGCTGCCTGTTCAGGATATGAATATAATCCCCTTCTGCTGGAGACACCTCTGAGCCTTCCCCTTTCATTCCATTTGCATTTCAGGTTTCCAAGTTGCAATGGGACCTTTTGACAACCACTTGAACTATGTTTACATAGGGTTTGTGCTCCTGGTAAGCCCCCAGGCCTTGCCAAGCTGATGGAATCGATTTTGCCATCAGGGATCTCAGTGGTGGCCCTGGCCCACCAGCTGCTGAGGAGGGACAGTGACCCAATGTGGCAGCAGTCCCCAGCCCAGGCGTTTCTTGCCTGCCTGTCTGTCCTTCCCATGGCGGCACCACGCGCTGTGGGGGTGTGTTGGGGTGGAAGTGGGAAACGTGTTTATTTTTGTTCGTCTCCTGGCTCGTGCCGCTCTGAGTTTGTGGCACTCGGTATTACTAACACTTCCCAGTGCCAGCTGGCAGCAGGGGATGAATCAGATTGGCAGCACCACAGTGTGGACCCTCCGCTGGCCAGAGCTTAGAGCGATGCCTGTGGCCAAAGTGCTGGTGATGTCTCCTGCCCCTGTCCAGGGTGAGCCCCAACCAAGTGCTAGAGGCTTGACCTTGCTGGTGGAGACATCTCAGTACGCTGTGGGACAGGGTTGTCCCCTCTGACTCATGCTACCTGCCCGGCTGGATCGTCCCTGTCCTTCCTTTACGTTGGAGGTCTCAGGGGGCTTCATGAGCTGCTCTCTGCTCACTGGCAACATCCCCAAGCTGGGGTCAGCTTTACAGCCAGGAGGACAACTTACCCTCATGTTGCCAAAAACACCTTTTGCAGCTGTTGTGGTTTAACCCCAGCAGGCAACTTAGGTATCACTCAGCCCCTCTCTCCCTCTCACTGCCCCCAGCCACAGCGGGGAGGGGAATCGAAAAGGTAAACTTCATGGGTTGAAATAAGAATAATTTAATAATTGAAACAAAATATAACAATATTAAATATGTTAATGATATTAATATTATGACCATCAACAACAACAATAATAGCAGAAATAGTAATAATAAGCTCAGAGAGAGAGAATAACAGGACCCAACAGAAACAAGCGATGCACAGCCTCATTACTCACCACCCAATGGCTGATGCCCAGCACGTCCCCAGGCATTCGTCAACCCCTTCAGTTAAATCTCCCACTTAAATTCTGGGCATGATGTTCTGTGGCATGGAATATCCCTTTGGCTAGTTTGGACCAGCTGTTCTGGCCATGCTCCCTCCTGGATTCGTGTGCAGCTCCTCAGTGGCAGAACATGGGCAGCTGAGAAGTCCTTGTCTTGGAGTAAGCCACAACTTTACAACAACTCTGACATGTCTGTGTTATCAGCATTATTCTCATACTAAATCCAGCACTGTGCTGGCTACTATGAAGAAAATTAATGCAGTCCTAGACAGAATCAGGACAGCAGTTGATTGCTTCCTCCCCCTTCCCTGCTTCTGACAACTCAGCACACATGGAATTTGACATCATAGACCTTGGAATGCTGGTGGTTCCAGTTGTCCTCAGAACCAAGATGCAGAGGTATATGGCTCTCCTCTCCCTCCTGAACATCCTGATGTTCTAAACAGAGGGATTTTGGTGGCCAAAACAAGCATTGCTGAAGCTGCAGAAGGTGGCACACCGCTTGTCAGTGTCAACAGCCTGCATGGCCTGCACTCCAGGAGGACAATTTGGATTCTCCTGCCTACTGCAGCTGAGAGCATCCTGAAAAATGTCGCAGCCACTTCGCGTCTTTGGGTTAATGATGATGGTTTACCCAGAATCTCAAGGGTTGCAAGGTGATGACGATGCTGATGGTGATGATGGTAACAGTGAAGAATCAGGGAACTCCTGCCATTCTGAACTTCCTTCACCCTTGTGCAAGAGCAGTGACAGCACAGATGAAAATCAGACAGAGGATCTGGGAGAACCGACATTCTTCCCAACTCCTGGGCACTCTTACATGGTAAAAGATAAACAGGTGGGGTTGGCCAAGCATGCGCTGGAGATGGAGGAGGAAGATCAGGAGTTTCAAGAACCATTTTACAAAGACATGGGAGTGTCTGATAGCTTGCCTGGAGATGAGGAGCCCAGACTGACCTACCACTTTCCTGGGCATCAGAGGTTGCCTGCTCTCCAAAAGGCCGGTACAGCACCAAGTGGCTTCCATAATTCTTTCCAGCACAGCTCAGGCCAGCACCTGGGGACAGAGGCCATTGCCACACAGGCCCATGCCAGTGACCACTACGTGGGACGCCCAGAGAGCACCACGGGAACGGAGCCCCACGTGCTGTGCGAGGAGGATGGCAAGGACAGCGAGGACAGTGAGGACAGTGAGGACAGCGAGGACAGCAAGGACGGAGAGTCCCTGTCCCTCCAGCCGACCTACAACTTGCTGTGGCAGGAGAACAGCATGCTCAGGTCGGAGAACGAAATGCTCAGGAATGCGAATGTCGCGCTCACGTCGGTGAACTTTACACTCAGGCAGGCGTTCAAAGAGCTCAAGAAGGACAGGGCTGTGTTCATGGGGGATGACATCGTGCTCAGGGAGGAATACGGCGTGCTCAGGGAACAGTATGACAGGCTCGAGAGTGAGAATGCTGCACTCAGGAAGGACAATGCCATGGTCAGGAGAATGTTTGACACCTTCCAGAACACCTTGAAGAGACAGGCGTGCGTGGTGGTGAGCCTGCAGGATCAGCTGAAGACCAGCCAGGCTGAACGAGAGAGGGAAGCCCAAGAGCTCCAGTCCTTAGTCCAGGAGACTGAGCGTCATCTTCAGCTAATGACCCAGCGGGCTCTGAATGCCGAAACAAATGTGGAGAGGCTGAAGCAGAAGATATTTATTCTCCAAGGACAGCTGGAGAGATATAAGCTGGAGAATGAAAACCTGAGAACAGACTGGCCTGGAAGCAGTAAAGCACAACTTAGACTTCACCAGGTTAAACCCCCACGAGCTCATAATGGACAAAAATGCCTCCCTCAGGCAGTTCTCGCCTCAGAAATGCTGCCCATTGTTACTGAGGTCCTTGAATCCACCAGAAAAATTCTCAAATTTTAAGGAGAGAAGGATTTTGTGAGTACGGTTCTGTGTGAGTTCCACGGATCCATGCACGGTCCAAGACCATTGTTCTCCCCTTTGTAACCATTTACTGCAAATAAAAGCATTTACTTTCCCATTCTCAAATGTGTGTGCCTTTATTCTTTGTGGAAATGCTTTCCTTGTGATTAAGTACCAATTGCAGGTAGTGACGTGACTTTAGCTGCTGATACTCTGTTTGGGCACTATGGAGCCAGCAGCAAAGGCTGCCCAGGCTCTGAGCTGCAAGATCCAGCCATGGTGGGCTCTGTGCAAAAGGCTCTGCCACAGCTCTGGCTGACATGAGCTTCCATGTGGGAGCCAGGAAGAAGCACAGCACCACAGGATGCAGCGCTCTTACACAGCATGCTCATCCCATCTCATAGCTGTACCAGCTTGAACTGGAGATGAATGAAACCCTTGTATTTTATCTGTTTCCTTTGCCCCTTCTTGGGAAGGGGGGAAAGGTGATGAGCCGAGATCGAGATGTTGCTGCACACAGTTTCACAAAGCACCTTAGGTCCTCATTCCTTTCTTTTGGAGCTGGCTGCTGCTTGGGCCAGAAATCCAAAATCTCTAGAAATGATGCACCTCTTTCTGCAGCTGGAGAAAGAGAGCTGTTGGTTGTGGAAACTTTCAGGAAATTGTGAATTACTCATGTGTGTGAGCTGTGACAGTGCCTTCCCTGTGTTATCAGGGTCAGTGCTGGCTAAGGATGAGCTTGGCTTATCCAGGCTGGCTGAAAATGATGCCAATTGAAGAGGATGCCTTTCCTCTCCTGGCTGAGGCTGGCATAGAGGGCTCTACCTAAACTGGCCGCTTTTGCCACCTCCCAAAGTAATGTGGGACCCTGCAGTCTGAACTCACCATGTAATTGCTCTAGTCAGCTTTATCCCAGCAGGATCATCTGTGGGTATGAAGTGGCCTCTCTTCATCACATCAACATTTCTGATTAACTTAGGTTACCAGCCACAGGATCTGCTCTAAATTTACCCAGCTGCACAGCAAAAATTCCTGGCCAAACCAACGTCATGATGTTGTAGGGCAGTGAGCTGGTGGGAGCTGGCAGAGTTCAGTGTCAAAGTGCTTTTTCCTAATGGGGATTTTTGGGCAGCTGTTCACTTTTTTCTCTATATGGTGAGTTGCAGATTACAAGGTGGTTTTCTTCTCCCGGTCCCATAATACTCTTGGTCTGAACAACAATGTTTGTGTTGCTGCAGGGCTTTAACTCAGTAACTGAGTAATCTTCATCCCATCAGATGTAATTTCTGGAGCTCCCTTTCTATTGCTTTCCAGTCTCTGGTCCTAACTGGGGAAAGCTGGTGGGCACCCCTGGCCACATGCAGTCCCATTCTGGGGTACTGATGATGAGATAAGGGTGGTTGTCACCACCTTTTCCATCATAGGCAACATCATTTGCTCTTTCTCTCTCCTGTCTATGCACAACCACTTGTAAGCAGCTCTAAGCCTTACATTTAATCCCAAAATCCTTGTATTTTCCCCCATATCTGGCAACCAGTGGTTGTTCATTGGTGAGGCTGGGAGGAAACAGACTAGCTGGCTCTGTCTGCATCCACACTCAGCACTGGCTGCTGTAATCCAAAGGCTACAGTGCAGGATTAGCATGGGTGTACAAAGCCCTTCCTAATCTGTGAGTCATTACCCCCTCAGTGCATTTCACTTCCCAGCAGCTCTGGGCAGGTGGAATAGGTTGGCTCTCGAGTCTTTGACTTCCCCATCCTTCCATTCTGGGAGGACTGGATTGGGACATCTGCCAGACATCCTCCCAGGACACTGCTGCTGAGCTGCTCCTTGGGTGCTGTACACAGGGCACGTCACAAGGTTTGTTTCCTCTAACTGGCTTCTCTTTGGCTACTCCTGAGCCCTTCCTTTCCATAATTTCTTTTGGGCTCTACCCATTGCTTTCCTTCTTTTATTTGAAACAGGGTGTTCTGCACACCCTGGAAAAAAAATCTCCTCAGGGTTAGGCTGGGCTGACAGGGATCCCTGAGGGCTGTTGTGCATTTCGGTGCTTTGTTAGTCCTTGTGTGAGAGGTATTTAGCCTGGCTGAGCTCTCACCCTGGTGTAAGCTCTGATATTAATATAATGGCTCAGGGCGAGGGCCCTGTGAGCTGCTCAGCTGCTGTGCCCTTGCTCTGGAGGGCGGTGACCAGCCAGCCCTGCTCCTCCACTGGCGGGAGGCAGGCTCTGCAGCCATGCTCCCAGTGCATCCACCAGCTCCTCACCTGCCGAGCCAGGCTGCAGCAGGTGCCCCAAGGAGAGCTCCCAACACACCCTGAGCAGAAGGCCGGGAGCCCTGTGCCCGCTGCTCTGGACTGGGATGGGTTCTGCCAGGGGGGTGCTGACCGGGTTTTGCTTTGTCCTTCTCTGCCAGGCGTGTGCCCAGGAGCAATCGCAATGGCAGCGCTGATCCCAGCTCGCCAGAGGTGAAACCTGGAGCTGCCCAGTCCCACGTGAGTGCTGCTGCATGAGTTCCCACGCCCTGCCAGCTCCCACGGCCCCCTGACACCCGATGACCGAGCGAGCCATGGGCAGCGTCCGAGTCAATCGGTGAGTAACCCTCCTCTCGAGACCTGCTGCTGCCCTGAGTGACCAGGACCTCCTGATCTGGCCCCCCAGATCCTAACTTCAGACTGCCTTTTGATATATTCTTTTCAAATTACCTATCAGCAGCTTTCCTGTTCCAAGGAATGACTCCTCTATCCTTTTCCAATCCAAAACATGCCATATGTAGGGGTAGTGCTTGGAGGAATACTCTGGGGGAGAAGCAAAGCACTGCATGGTGCTGGACTAGAAATTACAGATTCCAGCAGCACTGCAGAAGCCACATGTGCCCAGGAATTTCACATCCAGCCATCAGTGCTGTCCTTGTGATAGTATAGGGATAAAATGTTTCTAAAATCATGGGATATTTAGGGGATTTGGAAAGAAAGGTTGGGCCTGTCAGGCCCTGGGAAAATATTGGGCTTTACTGGATCATGTGAAACTGCACCTGTATAATCATTTAATGAATATGATAAATGATATGATTATTATATGATAAATGATAAGATTGTTAAATGTGATGATTGTTCCGTAACTGGATATGATTATTGTTCAATCGTAACAGGAATCATGAGAAATGATATTTGGGGGAGATGACAAGAATCCATGCTTGCATGAGATCAGTGTATACAATAGAACAATATAAGTTTAAGAATTAATATGTAGTTATATAATGATAAGGGTATAAAAACATGTTCATCCTGAACCCATGTCGGAGTCAGATTTGGGTCTGTACCCCTAACACCCAGAGCTCTTCAATAAAAGCACCTGCATACAACCATTCTGTGATTATGTGTTTCTGAACGCTAACACTTGCCTTGAGATGGAGGCCCATTCTGGGGGACTCCAGCTGACATGTCAACACCACAGGGTGGGAGAGAGAGACTCTCAGGTCCTGTGAGGCTGCAGCTTGTCAGGCATGAGGGCAGAGCAGTCTTTGTGCTTCAGTGCACTCTCTTGGCTTCCTCAGTGGTCAGAGCACTGTCTACCATCACATCTTTAAGGAGTATCTGCAAGTGTCACAGGATCACATGAGGGGCAGTGTCAGAGCTGACTGCGAGGAAAGGGAGCCAGAGGGGCAAAGGTTTCCCAGAAAGTGTGTGTGTAGCTTCTGCCAAGGAAACTGCCAGTGCTTTGGCTGTTGATTTCCCAATTACACCTTTGGCTTCAGATAAGGGATGCTGGAAGACACACATGTTGCTGTGGCAACAGAATTGTCCTGAGGAAGCAAGTATATAAACATTGCTATAACATTGCACACACCATGAAATCAGTGAGCAGAGCAGAGGAGAAAATAGAAACTCCCAACCTTGTATTATATGAGGGCCAAAATGTGGTCAGGCTGTGGGTGCTTGCTCCCAGGCTTCCCAGCTGTCCCAGCTTCTGTCAGGTTTCAAAGCCTGGTATCCCTCCTCACCATAAAGGCTGGAAGGTACCACAGAGCAACACGCTGCTGCTGCTTTGCTGCCCTGTCAGGACTTTGCTAGATGCAACCTCCAGGCAGCAACATTCAGCAAACATTGCAGCTGATCTCCACCAGTTTGGTCAGATTGACACCATGGTGCAATAATCACTGAAACGTGCTGTTGTGAGATCCAACAGGGTGGTACTGTAGCCCTGTAAACCACCCACGTCTCCTGCCCTTGCTGTCTCAGAGGTTGCTGTTACCCTTCACGTATTCCTGATGGAAGTGCCTGTTTCTTCTGTTCCCAGGTACAGCATTGTCTCAACTGAAGAGGATGGACACAAGGTCTCTACGCTGGGCAGCATGAATGGGCACAGCCGGAATGGGAAGGGCCACGCTCCCCGGCGGAAGCACCGCAACCGTTTCGTGAAGAAGAACGGCCAGTGCAACGTTTACTTTGCCAACCTGAGCAACAAGTCTCAGCGCTACATGGCTGACATCTTCACCACCTGTGTGGACACACGCTGGCGGTACATGCTCATGATCTTCTCCGCTGCCTTCCTGGTCTCCTGGCTCTTCTTCGGCTTCCTCTTCTGGTGCATCGCTTTCTTCCATGGCGACCTCAATGCACCGGTGGTGGCAGGTAGTCCCTCTCTCCTCAAGCCCTGCATCATGCACGTGAACAGCTTCCTGGGGGCTTTTCTTTTCTCAGTGGAGACACAGACAACCATCGGGTACGGCTTCCGCTGCGTGACTGAGGAGTGCCCGCTGGCCATCATGGCAGTGGTGGTGCAGTCCATCGTGGGCTGCGTGATTGACTCCTTCATGATTGGCACTATCATGGCCAAGATGGCAAGGCCCAAGAAGCGGGCCCAGACCCTTCTCTTCAGCCATCATGCGGTCATCTCCGTGCGGGATGGCAAACTGTGTCTCATGTGGAGGGTGGGCAACCTGAGGAGGAGTCACATTGTGGAGGCCCATGTCCGAGCCCAGCTCATCAAGCCCTACATGACGGAGGAAGGAGAATACCTCCCCCTGGACCAGCGGGACCTAAATGTGGGCTACGATGTGGGTCTTGATCGTATATTTTTGGTCTCACCCATCATTATTGTTCATGAGATTGATGAGGAAAGCCCCCTCTATGGGATTGGCAAGGAAGAGCTGGAGACGGAGAATTTTGAGATTGTGGTTATTCTGGAGGGGATGGTGGAAGCCACAGCCATGACCACACAGGCACGGAGCTCTTACCTTGCTAGTGAAATCCTTTGGGGTCATCGCTTTGAACCAGTTGTGTTTGAGGAGAAGAACCACTACAAAGTGGATTACTCGCGCTTTCACAAGACATACGAGGTAGCTGGCACACCTTGCTGCTCAGCACGGGAGCTTCAAGAAAGTAAGATGACCATCCTACCTTCTCCTCCACCTCCCAGTGCCTTCTGCTATGAGAATGAGCTGGCACTTGTCAGTCAAGATGAAGACGAAGATGATGATGAAGTGGGTGTGGTATTAGGGGGCAACACCAAGGAGGAGGGAGGTATCATCCAGATGATGGATTTTGGAAGTCACCTGGACCTGGAGCGGCTCCAGGCAACTCTGCCTCTAGATACAATCTCATACCGCAGGGAGTCAGCCATCTAACTCCTCCAGCCTCCCCGTTCCGCACCCATTGCCCACAGTCTCCTCTGTTCCGTACCCATATACTGGATAAGTCCCTTCACCACCAAATAATGCCTCCCATGATTGCCTCTCAAGCCCCATATACACCAAGGCCTGGAGCTGCTTGGATATACTCCCTTTCTCATGAGGTCATAATGCCTGGGAGAGGAGTGAGGATACACTGCTCTTTCTGGGTATGCAGCTTGGGCTAGAACCCCTTTCCTGCCCAGAGACAGGAGGGCAGCAGGCCTGGTTTCTTGTCTCTGGAGAGGTGACAGGAGTCTCTGCCTTCAGTGGACAGACTGGGACCAACAGCAAGTATTTCTGCTGCAAGGCAACAGCAGACTTTCTGTCTCCTCTCATTATGGGTAGGACCCATGGCTGTCAAGGGTCACTGCCGTCACTGGGAGAGGAGCGACACCTAAGCACTGACCAGATGAGGATAGAAGGGAGAGTTTGGGACTCTTGGAGGGAGTGGGGAAAGATCTTGAGTGAGGAGCTTACTTGCATGTTTGTTGCTTGTTGCACATGATTCTGTATATAAAAGAGAAGGAGAACTGAAATCGATACTCTTCATTGGCAAATGCCAAGCTAGGAGACAAGGACGCTCTACACAGGCTGCTCTGCACTCCTCTTGGCTTTTGGTGTTTGTCAACTCCAGAAGCGGCTCGGCTCCATGGACTCAGATCCAGTTCTCCCAGTCCTCTTGAAAAACACGTCCTGCTCCTCTTCTGAGACACTGGCAGAGGAGGCAGGGCCTGTGCTTACCACACTCAGACTGCTCCCTGGTGCAGCACAGCCAGGGTGACAGACAGGTGACCTGACTGGACAGCAGACCCTCCACTTGCTCCTTTTGCCTCCTCCATTCTTCTCCCTGATGCCATCAGCTGTAAAACAGAATTTGTAACTATTTATTTTTAATAAAGTCTAATATCCCAAGGGGAGGTTTGGTAGCAAAGGACAGACTCCAAGGCTGCAGCCTGGTATAGAGACTGATGAGGGTTATTAGGGCTGGTGTTTGCTATTTGTATGGCATTGGACCCTGGAAGCTCCACCACAAGGGCTCTCTTGTTCTGAGCCTCTCTGATAAAGACCTATAACAAGAGGCTCAGAGAATTGGCTCAGGGAGAAGGTCATACAAATGTGTTTTTGGAGGGAATAATCTGCATTAAAATTACCAGTAGGATGGGCTAAGCAATACTGTTTGCCTTGGAGATAGAAAGAGTTTTCCCCAGGGAAGGGTTATAGATGTGAAGATATATATATATATGAAGAGGCAGAAATGTGCAAGACATTGCTCTAAATTCAAGATTCAAAAACCCCATGAAAAAACCCAAAGTGTCTCTTTTTGCTAGAGGCAAGTGAAGGGAGAATGAGGGAGGACATCAACCAAAGCTAGACCCATAATATCACTTTGTTGTCATTTCACAAAAGAGGTGAAAACATGATGAGCATTTTCTTTCAGGAGCAGCAGAATCACCCCTTAAAAACTGCAGATGATATGATGACAGAAAAACAAACAGGAAGCTCAAGAAGCTGCTCTGGGCACCCAGTTACTGTGCTGTGGTGGGAAATGGCTGAAGAAGTTATTAGTCCCACCTAATCCCTGATCTACAAAACAGAAAAAAAGCATCTCAATATCAACTTGGAATTGGTTCAAGAAGGAAAAGAAAGAGGGGAAGAAGCAGAAGGGAAAGGAAAGAAATAGCAGGACTGAGAGGAAGAAGCAGACACAGCAGGCAGATGGTGAAGAAGGAAGGGGAAAAGAGGAAGATAAAGTGAGGTTATATGGAAGTGCGTTTGAGAAAGAGCACAAATAGACTCACAAGATATGTCTAGGCCCAGACATGGTCATTTCTCATCCTAGGACGTAGGTTTTGTGGGAGAACAGCTGTCCTGCCTGGGTTTGCTCCATTCACTGGAATAATTCCATTCACCAGAATAATTCCATTCCCCAGCACTCTCTGGGCCCAGCAATGGAGCCAGTTTTCTAACCAATGAACGGTGCACACATTCCATTTCTCCAGGCAGCCAATTTCTCCAGGACAAATGTTTTGGGAGACAGTGTCAAAGGCTTTACTGAAGTGCAGGTGGACATCAAACACAGCCTTGCCCTCATCCACTAAGCAGGTCACTTTGTCATAGAAGGAGATCAGGCTGGTCAAGCAGGACTTGACTTTCCCAAACCCATGCTGGCAGGGCCTGATTCCTGGGTTGTGACACATGTTCTGTATGATGGCAAGGTGAATTGCTCCATGACCTTTCCTGGCACTGAGGTCAGGTTGACATGCCTGTAGTTCCCCAGATCCTTCTTCCAGCCCTTTTTGTAGGTGGGTGTCACACTGGCTAACCTCCAGTCATCTGGGATCTCTCTGGCTAGCCAGGACTGCTGATAAATGATGGAAAGCAGCTTGGTGAGCTCTTCCGCCAGCTTTCTCCGTGTTCTTGGGTGGATCCCATCCAGCCCCACAGACATGTGAGTGTCTAAGTGGTGTGGGAGGTCATTGAGCATTCCCCCATGCTTTATGGGACTTCACTTGTGTTCCCTGTCCCTGCCTTCCAGCTCAGAGGACTGAGGACCCTGAGGACAACTTGTCTCACTGTTAAAGATTGAGGCAAAAAAGTCATTAAGTACCTCAGCCTCTATGTCACTCCTGTAGGGATCCTCGGCTCCAGAGCCCATCTGCCAGAGCAGTTTGCCTCAAAGTCTTCACTGAAATGATGGATTCAATAGATTTTGAGTGGCCTCCATCTCTCCTGGTTCTGCTGGTGCTGAGGCAGAGCTGCCTCTCTTCAGAGCTCTAATGCTACTGACTTGGGAATTGGGGTGCCTCTCTCAGCACTAAATTTGAGAGTTTGCTGGTTTAGGAAATGAAGTCACTCCCTCCTTTCATTATTTACTTATTTTCCCCTGGGGGAATAAGCAGGGGCTGGTATTGACCTGGCTTTTAATACAGCTTTCAGAGTCGTGTGCCTGCCACTGGCCATGGAAAGAAACTAATGGACCGAGAGGGAAGGACTTTGCGTGCGAGGACACGGGCATTCAGGACACAGGCTGGAGTGGTGGCCTCCAGGAGAGGGGGAACCCTCATGGCTGGGCACCCCCTCACTGACATACAGCATCCTCTGGAGGCGGGTGGCAGTGCTTGGTGGGGATGAAGTGTCCCCTTAGCTCTTGGGAGACTCTTCAGTCACCAAGGAGCGAGAGTGCAGAGATGCCAGGCAAGGGTGGTGCACCAGGGCACGCACAGCTGGAGTGGTTGGGGCAGCACACAGGTTGGCACTGCCACCCCTCCCTTTACCTGGGAGCCTCTTGTGGGAAAAATGGGACAAGACCTTTACCTGGGAGCCTCTTGTGGGAAAAATGGGACAAGATTGCAATCAATCTTGTCCCATTTTTTGAGGGAACAAGCATCATTCAGCCATACTTGTTCCAGCCCCCTCCGTATGTCTGAACCTGCTGGATGTTTTCATGTCATGTTTGGCATCACAGTGGAGAAGACAGTGAGGCATTGAAGAATTCCCAGCTAATTCCCTGCTGTTCATAATAAAATTGCAAGAAAGCTTTCAGTGCTGTCAGATCATTAGAGAGGGGAGAGAGAAGGGGGTTGAGGGGAGGTGGCAGGGGGAAGGAGAAGAACAGCCAGTGCAGGAAAACAGGGGTGGTGAGCAAGTTTCTGCCTATCAGATACTCCTCGTGCAGCTGTGCTGCTGGAGCCACACACAGCCCCTCCAACAACAGGGTGCAGCCACTCCAGTGTCAGTTCCTGCAAGCTGCACATGTGCCCAAGGGTTTGCTGATACACAGCAGCAGGACATCCTTCTGCACATGTGCTTCTGCACCTGCACACTGGAATCCCAGAGGACTCGTGCCCAAGTACATACTGCAGGTGCCTACATATGCATGCCACACGTGGGGGCAAAATGCATCCTACACCACAACTGCATCCCATAAACACCCAAGCACATTCACAAAAATGCCACACAGCGGCATCTCAACAAGTGCCTCTCTGCGTGTGCTGGGGACTCCTTTACGCAGCCTGTGAAAAGCCACTGGGAGAATCCATCCTGGAAAACTGCTGCAGAGGAGGCTCGACATTTTTAAGGATTCTGCAAATCAGCTGTCCAGGCCATGCATAACTGTAAACACACCAGGTATTTTACCTTTTGCACACAGTGTGTGGAGCATCAGGTAGGTGATACCTCCTTGCACTGTGCTCTCCAGAGAAGATACCTTTAATGCATGAGAGGGCATGATGTCCCTGGGATCCTTCCCTCCTCCAGGATCTCATGAAGGGACTGCTTCCCTAAGACCTGCCTCCAATCACGAGGGACTGGCAGCTTGCTTTTCAGGAGGAAGACACTGCTTCTCTGTTCATTCAACCACAATCTATATTTCTTTCCTGTCTTACTTCTGAACATCTTACTTGGCTCATTATTGAAAGCTATTCAAATACCAGAAACATAATGGGGAGAGGAAGGACTTTTTCCCTATGAATAAGATCCAGGCACTGGTTCAGATCCTCTACCCCTTGACAACTAACCACGCTCTTGTCACTCTTGCCAGCTCTCAAATGAATGTTGTTGTTTGAAATGACACTTGAGAAACTTGTTTCATGTTTTATTTTTGGTGACACTTTTGGATAACCCTTTTAAAAAGAAATCATCATTGGCACCTTTCAACTCACACAAAACTTGCTCAGCAAAACATTTTGATACACACTGCAACTAAAAATATTTTTAAGAAACACAACAATAATCTCAATTGAGGAGAAAATAGGTTTGGATTTCCATGATTAGGAAATGGTGCTGAAAATGTCTTTGCTTCTGAACAAACATGTTAGATTTCAAACAGCTTGGTTTTGTCCAAGTTTTGCCCAGAAATGGATAGGGTACACGGCACTGCCACAGCAGCTGTGCACAGGCTCACGACCTCTGCAAGAATGCCTCCTCTGTGTTCTTTGAACTTGAATAGCTCTTTGCCTTTGCAGGAGGACCTCTTGCAGCTTTTGGACCGGCAATACTAAGTGGCCGTGGTTTTAAGTGTCGCAAAAAAAAAAAAAAAAAAAAAAAAAAAGTCTTATCTTCCCAGGCCATTAAGGGCTTGCCCCCGCGAAGTCAATGGGACTTTGGCATTGCCCGTGGTAAGAGCAGAGCTGGGCCCTAATGGAGCATCACTATTGGAAAAGCCCGCGGGGTCCGGCCCTGCGCTAAATCCGCAAAGCTGGGATGGGCTGTTGCTGCCTGCGCAGGAGGGAGAGGAGGGATTGCAGGCTGCTGGGATGCTGAGAACGTGGGGCGGTGTCGGGCAGCTGGGGCAGCCTCGCTGGCGCGGACAGAGGGGGACAGCAGAGGGATGGGGAAGCCGGCGAGCCAGCCTCTGTTGGCAGCTGCCCGCGACACGGGACCCCGCGGCCGGGGTGTCACACCAGCAGGAGCTGAGGTGGCAGCCCGCCCTCGGAAGGGCTGCACGGGCTTCTCCTCCTGCCGTGGTCCGCAAGGCGGGTCCTGCCCCGGCCGGCGGCGGCGGACGCGGCGCGGCGAGGCGGGCAGCGCGGCCATGGCCGGCCTCAGAGCACCATCTAGAGATGAAAGCAAGGCTGGCAGCCCGCGGGTCCCGGCGCCACGGAATCTCCCAGGCTGGAAAAGACCTCCGGGGTCACCGAGTGCAGCCCCGAACCCAGCACTGCCACGTCCACTACTGAACCGCATCCCTAAGCATCATATCTGTTATAAATGAAAATTTGTCCAGCCAAATTAATATGAAAAATAAAATATTTATTTTGCAATCAAATTCTATCTAGCCAGCTACAAGGAAAGAACAGAGCTGAGCCCGGGGTCGGCCCTGGGTGTGCAATAAGGAGTCAGCCTCATCAGAGGTTTTCCTCTATGCCCACACACCTCCATCCTGGCACAAGCGATTTTTATAGGGAAAATTCCGCCTGAGGCCAAGATTTCAGCAATCAGTCTTTTCTTCTATTCAGAGTCCATATGTTAATAAGATTTTCTTTTTGGTGATGAGGGAGAACAATTCAGTGTCTGGAGTTTGTTGATTCACATGTATCTGCCCGAGGATTTCCATGATATCCATCTCGGGTCATTCACGCAAACGATCAGCACCTGGGGTTTCTGTATCTCCCCAGACATGGCCCATCTCCTGGCGAGCCGTACCTTCTTACTTGTAAATCAGTTTCTAAAATACACCCAGTCTCCCCTGCGACGGTGTGGGTGAATCCTAATACAAAAGTGTATACTCTAACAAATATTCAATATCACATATATCATATTAGAAATGGTGCGAATTATATCTACTACACATAACAATATCTACACGTATTTTAAACACTTTTGGGGATGCTGACCTCTCCACTTCCCTGAAAAGCCTGCTCCAGTGCTTGGCAGCACTTTCAGTCAAAAAAATTTTCTTTCCCCGGTGCAACTTGAGGCCATTTCCTCTTGTCCTATTGCTTGTTATTTGGGAGGAAAGGTCAACTCCCCTTGCTACAGCCTCCTTTCAGGTAGCTGTAGAGAGTGAAAAGGTCACCCCAGAGCCTCCTTTGCTCCAGGCTAAACACCCCTGACTCCCTGAGATGCTCCCCATAAGACTTGTGCCCACACAGATCCCAGCATCCTTGCAGCTCCTGACTCCCCAGGCTCCTCCAGTGCTGGTGGGACACTGTGGGGTTGGGCTGGGGCTGAGGCTGACTCCAGGCAGTGCCATGGGGCACAAGTGAGGTTTGGGAGAGGCAATGTTTTATCTGGAGTAAAAGTAGACTCTGAGAAGGACCAGCACCCACCACTAATGCTGCAATAAAGCTCAGCCCTCCTGACAGCCAGACCATTGCTTTCACAGAGTGGGCACTGACTCTGAAAACAGCTCAGATATGTGCTACCTCTTTGATTTCTTGTTGGGGACAAATTTACAAAGCTATGCCAGCTCTGGGAAGTTAGGCAGAGATGGCCTTTGTTGAGAGTCAGGTCCTTATGGTTGCTGCCTTGCTGTCTGCTTGTCCTTCAGTTGTTTCTCAGCTCTGACTGGTTGTATGTGCTCAATTTATAAAATTTGCTCCCTTTATTCCCCCTATTATTCAGTCCCCTGATGGGGCATGTCCAGCCTGCCTCTCCCATGACACAGACACGAGAGCAGCATGCTCGGATGGTGGGACAGGAGCAGTGAAGCTGCATGGAAGAGATATCCTTGTCAGCATGAGGGCTGGCGAGTAGAAGGCTTGTTTCCTGAGAGCTCTTCAGGCAACAATCATTTTGAATCCCCTTGGGACAATAGATAACAACAGCCTGGCTTGCAAACTGTAAGAAGACTCTGGCCTTGAGCTTCTTCCAGGTCCTAAGGAAAACAACACCAGCAAAGCAGTGAGTGGGCTGCCAGTATAATGCTTACCTTTGATCACATCCCCTCCAGAAAGGGAAAATTTAATGTGGGCAATGCCTCTGCTTCCTGGGCAGCCTGGGCATGTGGACCCCAAGTGAGTCACTGTCCATGTCAGGTCAGCCTGGAAAGAGGTAAAGTGGAGCAATGTGATTCCACTGCCCTGATGTCTGTGAAGAAACTCAGTATGGACACAAACACTATCCTGAAATAGTCTGTGTGACATGAGATATTTGAGCTTTAAAAGTTTTTTTTTGTCTCTGAAATTAGTCAGATTATTTTGGTGCTGGGCCCAGATTTGAAATAGCAAGTCCTGAAACCTGGGACTTGGCAATATTTGGTCCCTGGCTGTAGTGCATTGATAGAGTTGTTTGAATGTCCCAGCATTACAGTCACTGAAAGAGTCAGCTGAGGGCCTATGGAGCACAAAGCCTTGTTACAGAAGCTGTATATGAGCAAGAGAATACGGAGCTTGAAATTGCTCCTGCCAGGTGATTAGGTGCTCACCCAGAAACAGCCTGCACACCACTTCTGGGTTACTGAAGAGAGGAGGAAGCTGATACAGGAACTCCAGAGAAGACTTTGAATGTGTTTATAAAATGACCTGCAGTCTCCACATGCTTCTCTCAGGGATAAGACAATGAATCAGTAGGAGAGTGGGTGCTTGCACATGACAGGCAATGCAGACCTATAGCAGAACACTTGGTACCATACAGAATGATCTGATTTAATGCAAGCAGAGTGGAGCCATCCTTGAGCTCCAGGCTGCTGGGTTACACCACGTGCCTTTGTTTTCTGGGATACAGTGTTGTGCTCACTAGCAATGAGGCTGCCTTAAATAGAGAAACTTATGTGACCCCCCTCGAGTGTTGTGTGAGGCTGTAGGAAAAGCAGGGAAGAGCTGCAGTGTAAACCAGCTCTGGAGCAGAGAGCTGCAGACATGGGGTGACTGGCTGCAGGGTGGCAGGGCCAAATAACAGGGTGACCTGGAGTGTCCAAGGAGCCAACAGTGATCAGCAAGCCAGCAGGTGCCAATGGGACAGAGCAGCGTGAGGTCAGTGGAGGAAGCAAGTCAGGGTGAGGGCAGCTGG